CATGTAAAGCTGTTCTTCAGTATATAGGCATTAAAGTACAAAAGAGAATCACAGGTAACCTACATTGTTTTAATTGTAAAAAAATAAATAAATAAGATGGGTATGTTACATTAAACACAAACATAAATGGGATACATTTCATGGGTTTTAGTTTGTTCTGGGGATATTTCCACACAGTATTTCCTCTCTTCATTCCCATTTAAGATATTTAAACACTGTCTTGTGTTGAATTTCCATAGCTGTTGTCCCTGGTTGTATACTTATCTTAAATAATTTTATGAATAATAATTTCTAGGGGAAACAGTCTCTGGAATACTTTTTAAATGTTATTGTTTTTGTTTTGCCTATTAATTTTTTTCGCATTTTAAATGGTTTATTTCTTTCTTTATTTTAACCTTATCTTCTTCAGTGTACTGAAATATTGAGCATGTCTGCTCTCTGAAAAACAGTTTTATGAATCTCAAAATGAACAAGTCACATAGATGAAAATGCTGTGAGTAATTTTCTAAGTAAACACATTATGACTCTACATTAAACCCAGAGGTTTTATTTTAGAATGGCACAGTGAAAGGAATACGGCCATTCTAAGGGTTCTTGTCGTCACCATGCAATGTCTCTCACAAGAGCTGCTCTAACTGTAATGCATTTTTGTCCCTATTAAGACATTCACCCTAAGCTAATGCTGCTGTTCTAAAAGAAAACAAAGCCTGAATAAGTCAGGTAAAAATTGGATTTTTAAAAGCATTACTTTATCTATATTTGTCTTCCAGTCTTTCTAAAATTTCTAAGCAATTGAATGACTTTCTTCTTCATTTTAACTATACACATCTGGCCTCTTTAGAGAATCTAAGTGCTCAGCTACACTAGAAAGATGCCTTCTTGTTTCCTTTTTTCACTCATTTAACATACATTTACTGAACTCTCTGGATCTCAAGGTTATTCATGGTGCTTCTCACCACATGGCATTTTCATGACATTAACATCAAAATAATTTTTAAATGGGTGTTCTAAATGTAATATTGGGTTCAGAATTTCATATTTGGTTTTTAAATATCACTGCAAGGGTGATAGATTTGTTATGCATTTAGAATTCCGAAACACACAAACATTAGTAGGCACTGACATTTTAAGAAAAAAATGTGCAATAAACCTTATTATAGACATTTTTCCTAAATTAATTTTTTTCTCTCTGAGAAAAATAGAACAATGGCTCCAGCTCACAAAATATCAGTGGTTGGTTGGAGCTTGATTGAAACTTATAATTATTTTTTCTGTGTACCAAGAGTACCAAGATCAATGACGCAGCCTGTGCCCTCAAAGAGCTCAGAGCCTCGCAGGAAAAACCTACAAATGGCAAAGCTCTAGTCAGGAGGGAATTACAGGCCAAAGAAGATGGAGTGGTGCTGGGCACCTTTCCCATACACCAGGAGGTTCTGCAAAGATTTTTCTGGGGGAAATGCCTCTGCCAGGTGCTGGTGATACCCAAAAGGGTAAGACTGTTTAGGATGTCCAAGTCCAGTGAGAGAAGCCAACTTTACATAAATACAACTCAAAGTGGCAGATGCACAGTACTCTGTGTGAACAGTGAGTGGGCTTATTTTTCTCCAGAGAGCAAAAGGAGAGGGTGATACACAGAATAAGTTCAACAAGCCCTTAATCTGTTCTTCCACTTGGGGCTTCGCTAGGACACTCCATTTCTTTCTGATTCTGGGAAACAGACTTCCCCTACACACCAATCACAATGCCTAGTAGGTGAGACCTTCAGAGTCATAATTCAGTGTGGCCTGAGCCAGTATTTCCCAGGTCTCAGTGCCTACATTAGTCACCTGACCTGTAACTGTGTATTGGTTGCTGCTGTTAATATGCAGATTCAGACACAGGAAGCCTCAGGTGAGGCTTGAGATCCTCATTTCTAACAACCTCCCAGATGGTGGAATGCTGCCTGCTGGTCCAGGAACTACATTTTGAATGGCAAAACCCAAATTTTGACTTACGTTAAAATTGTTGTGTGATAATTACCAAATAAATCTATCACTCTTGCATTTATATGTAAAAATCCATTATGAAATTCTGAAGAAATATCATCAGCTATTTGTTGTAAATATGAAAACAGAAGTCAGCCCAGGAAAAATAATAACATTAGGAACAATTGCTATAATAGCGATTACAAATTATTTACTGCTTTTCACTTGGCTTCTTGTTATAGTTGGTAATAAAAAACTAGCAATAAATAGGGTTTGTTTTATTCCTTACAATTACTGACTGAAGTAAATATCATTTTCCCATTTTGCAAACAAAGGCAGAGATTAAGTAACTAATTCAGTGCCATACAGCCAGTACAAGGCCGACTTTGTGATTCAATTCCAGGTCTCTCTTACTCCAGAACTAATACCCCCTAAAGAACACAGTCAAAAGAAGCAAATAGAAAGTTGATAGAAGTACAGAATAATAAGAGTAAAAATTGTGACATCCTGTGGCATAGAAATGGCTTAATCTTCTGGGGACAAAAACTAGCAGCTGAGCTACACAAGGTGCCCCTGTCAAATAGCTCTGTCAAATAATGCTTTTAAATGCAGCCAATAGGTGCACATGAGCCAAAACAAGGTGGCGGCTGGTGTTAATCTGATTCAGTACTTTAATAGGGGAAAGCACCAGAGCAACTATTTTACAGTCTTTATATATATGTATATATGTATATGTAAATACTGTGAACATGAAGAGAGACTTGCTGACTCACCATCAAGTGACATTTCAGTGAAGATTATGTATCAAGTAGAAAAAGAAACTACATGAATATATTCACTGATGGAGCCAGATTCTGACCTCCCAAAGTGTGGACCAGAACCATGTTCTTAGCAATTATTCACTCTGAATGCACAAAGAATGTATTTCTTAAATTTCTGATAATTTTAATATAATCATAAAAATGATGATTTTGAAAAAAAAATGTGCTAACAAGCACATCCTTCCAGGAATATTATTACTCCAGGACAACTCTTTTTAGATAAATGCGTCATGAACTAAAGTGACATTGAAAACTTGCTCAGTTATAGATATATGCTGGCTTTGCTGAAGCAGAGTAGTTATCAGAAACTTTAAATTGAGAAATGAGTTGCTTTTCCTCACAGGGAAAATTCATCACAACTAAGAATAACTATCTGTATTTGGTGAATTGCTTCCTTGTCCACTCCAGTGCTAAAGCAGGCTTCACTAATTTGGCTTATTTAGCAGATAACTTTGTCAGCTCCACACTGAATCAGCGACTACATGGTAAAACTGAATGCTTTCAACAACCATGACAAGACGGCTACAATTATAATGAAGTTTGATTGTTGGATAACGAGTTGATTGTGGGTACTATGAGTCACTGAGACTCAGTTCATTTACATGTGGTAAAAAGTATAGTGTCAATGGTGAAATAATAACCTACACCATTAGTCTTTCTTCCTCACTGACTAAGCCTTTGTGTAGAACCCTGAGATAGGAAAATCCCAGCTAATGGATACAAAAGCTTTACATCCCACCATATAAGTGAAATGATCTCTCCGCAGGAAGATACTGATGAAAATCTTCAACATTTGTAGCAGTAAAACATTGAACCACACTAACTTTTTGTCAACATTATGAACAATTCTGTGTCACCTTGAAAGAGCTACCACATACTGACCACTTACTATAATTGCAAAGATTTTTTCCAAGTATTTCTGTGTCAGATTCAATCAGCCCTTATAGCAGAACAGATGTACTTATATGCTCTATTATTATCAATTCTTATCTGCCAATGAGGAAACAATGATAAGTATAGGTAAAGTCAGGGGTCCCCAACCCCTGGGACATGGACAGGTATGAGTCTGCAGCCTGTTAGGCACTGGAATACACACCAAGAAGTGAGCATCAGGCCAGCAAGCATTACCACCTGAGCTCTGCCTCCTGTCAAATCAGCAGTGGCTTTAGATTCCCATAGGAGCACGAATCTTACTGTGAACTGCACATGCGAAGGATCTAGGTTCCACACTCTTTATGAGAATCTAATGCCTGATGATCTGTCACTGTCTTCCAACACCCCCAGATGGGAGTGTCTAGTTGCAGAAAAACAAGTCAGAGCTTCCACTGACTCTACATTATGGTGAGTTGCATAATTATTTCATTATATATTACAATGTAATAATCATAGAGATAATATGCACTGTAAATGCAATGTGCTTGAATCATCCCAAAACCATCCCCCACCCCATCCATGGAAAAACTGTCTTCCATGAAATTGATCCCTAGTGCCAAAAAGGTTGGGGACTGCTGGGTTAAGTAACTAACCAAAAGTCATCCAGTTGATAGCAGAGGCAAGATTTGTACAGAGACAGCCTGACTGTAGAGCTTGTTTACTCACCATATTGTAATACAGCTTTGGAGTGATGATACAGGAGACTCCCATGTGTATATTTGTAAGTTTTAATCCTAAAAATTTGGTGACTTCAAAAGTGAGATGAGAGCTAATTCTGTTATGTAGAGTCATTTCTGTTCCAATTCAACCTAATTTTCCAAAATTGATCTTACTGCAACAGCATCTTGACCATTTAGAAAGATGGAAAAGCATTCTTTTTCTTCCAAAGTTAAGAATATGAAGCCTTTATTTTTAAATTTATATATGATAGATATAAAAATACCCAGATTTCATGTGAATTTTAAGATGAAATGTGAGTGTTTACATTGCAGCTGATCATTCAGACTTCAATTTTCCTATCCTCTGTGAGGGATACTTTGGGAAAGAATGAGGAGCACCATTCAGACTTGACTCTGTGCATTAGGGCCATAAGAATTGTATGTGAAACTTCCAAATCTCTGCCTTGAGAAAATAGATATTTTTAATAATCAGAGAAATTTGTTCTATTCATCATCCTCAATAATTAATACTTATTTTAGATGTACAATACACAGAGAAAACTACTAAGATTCCAGGAAAATACACATACACACTCCTTCCTCTTAAGAGTTTTACAATCCTCAACTTTGTGCAGTGGCAGTATCATAGCCAATAAGGTTTATCCGAGGCACAATTATTGCTAATTGAAAATGTTTCCCAATACCCTGCCATGACAACTTGAAGTATAGTCGGCAGTGGCAATTTTTGATATTCTCTGCAGAGACTGAATTATTTAAAAAAAAAATGTTTTACAATCCTATTGGAAAACAATATCTAAACAAAAGAGTGAAGAATAATATTAGTCAATGCTCAAAGATTAACAATATAATCTAAAAGAATGTACAAATTGATAGAAATAGGGATTCACCATCTCCCTCTCAGCTGTATTCTGAAGAGAGCAGTTAGCTTAGGCATCCCATATAAGGAATAGTAACCTCAGAACCAAGAGAGATTTTCTGTCTAATCATCTATGTAAACTTGAGGCCCTTGTAAATCATCCTCTTTTAAGGACTTGTTCACCAGTAACTTAAATGCTCTAGAATTCTTGGCTTGAGGATCATCTTACAGGTGAATTAAGATCTTATCTATCAGTCAGACTTTCCCTACATGGAAGCAAGGGTCTTTCTATTACTTCTATTCATTAATCCATCTTCTAATATTTGGGATCTTGCAAGTGAATGCATATCCTCTTATCCTCTTCTATGTGCCATCACCTCAGGGATTAGAAAATTATGATTCTGATTATCTTTCTCTTCTTTAGAGGAAACACCTTTGTTCTAAAGGTAGTGTTCTTATGAGATGCTCATGAATTTTCATTAACTCCTCCTTTTAGTCTTCTGAACATATTCCAATTTATTTTTTAAATTATCATGAACATAAGTGAATCAGCCCAGAGAAGAGTTAACACATCTTCTTTTAGAAAACAAGTTTCTGTTAATGCATTCTAAATTCTCATTGACTATTTTAATATCACACTGTTGGTTAATACTGAATTTACTGTCCAATAAATTACCCAGACTTTTTCATATGCTTCTGTTAAACCATATTTCTCCCATCCTAGCCTTAAACAGTGTTTTTAGATCCACGTTCATATCCTTAAATTTATCTTTTTAGCATTATATTTTGTTTTATTTGGCTCACTGTTCAATCGATGAGATGGTTTTGATTGTAGCACCTGACACTGGGGAAGGGAAAGAAGTAAGAGTAAAACTGTGGACAACTAGAAGTAAGAGAAGAATTTCCCCTCATTTCTTGGAAGATGTAACTAATGCATGACAAATAAATAAACTTCTCTCATTAGTACACCTGATTTATGTATATTCCTTGTTAATAAATTTACCTAAGCTTTGATAGGAAAACCAGTATGCTGGGTCCATTAGTATTTATTTCATATCAGCTTTCCCAGCACCTCACCATAAAAATTAGATGAAGTGTTCCTGTGGCTGACTGATGGGATGCCAGCTGTCATCCTTGCTCAGCTAAAACAAACAAACAAACAAACAAACCAACAAAAAACTGAAGTCCCAGTTTTGTGCACAGGTATGTCCTTCTTTGCAAAGGAAAAACCAGTTTCTCCTTTCCTGCTTTGTTCTTCTCCACCATGTGAAATCAAATGGTTTTTTGACACTCTTCCTCCATAGGAAGTTAGGGCAGAGGAAAAAAGAATTGACCTCCACAGATTCAAAAATATTTGACAGTTTCAGTCCATAGTTATGCTTCACTTTACATAACTTTTCATTTTTTAAATTTATAACATTAAGAAAATGTATTTGGCTTAAAAATTAGAATTGGTGAACTCAAGGAAAATAATTAAATAACAGACAGATTTTTCTCTTCTGTATTTACTGACAAACCTATGGCAATTTGCTCAGCACTAGTTTGCAGTGGTGCACAGGAAGTAGAAGCAAATAGGGGTTCCAGTATATGATCACCCAGATATGAGTGATACTCAAGGTGTGATTTATTGAGAGACAGAACTCCTCTCCAATTATGAACATGTAAAACCAAATATTAGGCTGATGCAAAAGTAACTGTGATTTTTGCCACTTTTAATGACAACCAACCTAATAAGTTATGTGCTTTCAAACTATAGTAGTGAGACAGGTGTAGAATAGATATTCCCATTCCAAAAGAAAAGGAATAGGAAAGAAGAAAAGAGTGACAGCTTTTAAGTAAGTCCAAAACCTATCAAGTCAAACTCCGTCTCTCAGGGCTGAAGAATAATCCTCTTGTGCTTGATGCTGTGCACTCCAAGCCCACTGGGGCAGAGGTTCCATTTTCCAGACCCAGTAGAATTGAGGTATTTCTCTGCAGCTCTGCCAAGTGCTTAGTCCCAGGTGTCTGCTGGTCAGGCACTAAACCTCCACAGCTCCTCCCAGTCCTACCCCCATGCCTTTGATTGGAGGTAATCTAACTTGTTGAACATGAGGCAATTCTCCCCCGACTTTGAAACATAGGAAGAAGCCATGATGATCTTTGAATCGCTTTTTTGTGGCCATTCTTCTTTTGTCTTGACGAATAGGTCATGTTGGCAGCTGAAAAGCTTTATGGTCTTCCCTGTAAAATAAATTAAAAAAAAAAATCTGACAACCTTTCTTTGTTCCTTCCCATATCCTTACTGTTCAGTTCAAAATGGCAGTTCTCCTGCTGAGGTAGCTAATTCAGTCCATGCTTTATACCATGCTAATCTTCTTACCAAATGGTGGCTTGGTAATACTCTTTAGTGTTCTCTTTTAAACATGCTTTCTCATTTTGTGCAATATGGATTGGCTGAGAATTTTCCAAGCTCATAGGTTCTAGTTCCTTGTTGTTTGATAAGTCCCTCTTCACATCATTTCCCTCTTCTCACATTTTAGTAAACAGTCAGGGGAAACAAAGCCATTCCTTCAATACTTTGCTTAGAAATGTCCTCAGCTACATTTCCAACTTCACTGTTCACAAGTCCTAGCTTCCACAAAACACTAATAATATAAACACAATTCAGCCAAGTTGTTTGCTGCTTAATAATAAGGATTGCCTGTTCTTCATTGCACAAGATGGAGAAAAGGACAGTGAAATTTACAGTGTTAGTGAGGATAATAACATGTTTTCACTTCAGTCTGAGAATTCATCAAAATGGCCTTCACTATCCATATTTTCTACTAACATTCTGCCTATGATTACCTATATATTATTTCAGAAGATGGAAGCTTTCTCTACAGTTCTTCTCTTTTCTTTCTGAGTCCTAACCAAATCGCCTTTAAAAGTCCTTTCATGACAGTCTTGGCTTCTTCTAGATGTACTTCACAACTCTTTGTTAGTTCCAAAGCTGCTTTCACATTTTTAGGTATTTGTTATAGCAGCACCCTACTTCTCATAACCAATTTCTGTCTTAGTTTGGGCTGCTATAATAAAATACCGTATGTAAGGTGGCTTATCAACAACAAACATTTGTTTCTTGCAGTCTGGAGGCTGGAAAGCTCAAGATCAAGGTGATGGCCTATCTGATGTCTGGTGAGGCCCTGCTTCCTGGTTGTAGATGACTGTCTTCTTTCCATGTCCTATTATATCTTTTAATAGCTATCTGTGTTTGTTTTTACATTTCTATTATGTCTTTTCTTATTTCATGTTTGTCAGTTTTTGTTTCATAATTTGAGTTTATTGTTTATTTTTAATTGACAATAATTATACATATTCCTGGGGTATATAATGATGTTCCAGGAAATAAAATGTCTAGTGATAAGATGAGGGTAATTAGCACATTCATCATCTCAAACATTTATCATTTCTCTGTGTTGGAAATTTTCAATATACTCCTCCCAGCGTTTGAAACTAAATATTATTGTTAACTTTAGTCATCCTATAGTGATATAGAACACTAGAACTTACTCTTCCTGCCATTTTATATCCCTTAAAAAATTTCTCTATATCTCTCCCTTACTCTTACCTTTTCCAGCCTCTACTATGCTGTGTCCTTCTTTTTACTGCTATGAAATCGCTGTTTTTAAAATTTCTACATGTGAGTGAGAATGTATGGTGTTTAACTTTCTGCTCCTGGCTTATTTCACTTAACATAATGTTTTCCTGTTACATCCATGTTGCTGTGAATGTCAGGATTTCATTCTTTTTAATGGCTAAGTAGTATTCCATGATGTATATATACCAAATTTTCTTTATTCAATAATCTGATTTTGGACACCTTGGTTGATTCCATATCATGGCTATTGTGAATAGTGCTGCAATAAACATGGAGGTGCAAGTATTAAAAGGGCATCCAAATTGGAAAACAGGGAGTCAGATATGCTTTATAATTTCTTGTTCTACCATTTAAATTGTATTCGTTCCTTTATCACATTGTTTATCTTAAATGCATGTTTGTTAAACTAATTTTAGGTGATTCTGTTAATTAGAATTTGATCAGGAACATATTCATCTCTTAATTGTTGAGTTGGTTATCTGTTTTCTGGTGTTAATACAGGTTTTTGCTTTCAGGTAACATATTGAATGAGAGATGTATTTCTTACTGTCACTTACTCTTCATAATGTAATGCATTTCATTTATTTTCACTAATCCTTCAAGACTTTTAGTCTTGAAGCAGATCTTTTATCAGTATCTCGGGATTCCCTCCCATCTGGCAGTGATTTTGGAAAATTCCCTGACCCAGTCACTTCAAAATAAGCTGGTTGACTGAAGTCTAATCTGGATGGCTTTCTCTGCATCCTACCCTTTCTTTAGCTAGGCATTGCTGAATAGTAGAGATTATTTTTTTTTTCAATATCTTTTTATGAATGGCACAACCACAGCCCCTGATTTTATGCAGGCAACCTGAAACCGGTCTCCCACTCCTCCTAAGGGAGCAACTGACACCTCATTGGAGTGTGGGACCTTTGCCCCTTTCTGTTTCAATACCTGAATTGCAGAATGACTGTGGCTTTAGACTCCATTTACCTACCACTGTGGTTTTCTGTTGTGTTTCTGGTCAAAATATATGTTGATCTAGTTTTCAAGAACATAGTATTTTTTAAGTGTTTATCTTTGTATTCAGAACTGAAAATAACATTTTAAAAGAATGAGTTCATAATGCCAAAATAACCTGAAGCACTTTATAGCTTTAATAAGTACTGCTCTCAGCCACACATTTGACAATATATGTGTATGATTTACATACATTGAATTTTTATGAAAAACATCATTCAGTAGATTGCATTCCTTTTCTAAGAGTTCATGCTAAATGTGATATTATTCTAACACAAAACGTTTTATTTTAATCCTCAACACAGTCTTAGATCGGATTGGTCCTATAAATAGGTGGCAACTCATTTGGCCTTATTTGTAAGATCACAGAACATTCTTTATCCCAATATTTATTTTATCTGCCATGATATATAAATTCCACCAGAGTAATTCCCCTGAATTTGATGACTTTTTATTCTTCCCCAAGTCTTCATGAAATAAAAATAAATGTGGGGGATGGAGGAAGAGAAGCTGGTGTCTCTGCAACACTGACACCTAACAGAAAATAAGGCCCTTTGGTAATGTTATTAAGATCAGGCCCCTGGAGGATGAGTCAAAAGTGCCAAAAAGGATATTGAGTGTTTCAAAGGAAGTGAGAGGGCGCCAAGAATAAATTTGATCTTCCTCTTAATCTTATTTAGTTAGAAACCATGCAACAATCATTTATAAACCTCAATTTACCTTACTGTAAACATTTGTGGAAAAACGACTTACATATACCCTCTATATTCACTGAATGGTGTTCATAAAAAAGGCAGATTTAATCATGCTTGAGTAAAGGAGGAAGTGAAAAATAAATTTTCAAACGTTATCATATTTACTTTACCAACAATCTTGATTATGTGTCAACTTTATTGCTATAATTGTATGCAGCAGATCATGGTAGACGTTCCTCACCAAAGTTTTTAGTATATTCTGAAAAGTTTTCCTGAGAATTTTCAGTTGACTTCTCAAGCTTCCTTGTTTTACCTTTTCTTAAATTATCTCCCTCCTTCCTTGGTGAAATGAGCCTTCCGTCAGCATAGGCAACTTATTCTTACTGCTTTCTTCATACCCAATTTTTTTCTCTCTTTCAGCCAACTGGGTCCTGAGGTAGCTGAAATGCGAAAAAGGCAGCAGTCCCAAAATGAAGGAACACCTGCTGTGTCTCAAGCACCTGGAAACCAGAGGCCCAACAACACCTGTTGCTTCTGTTGGTGCTGTTGTTGCAGCTGCTCCTGGTATGTCACGTTACCTGTAGGATGCCACACCCAGGCTTGGCAGGCACTAGTGTGAACATGCATGCCAAATCTCAGAACTGTAGAAACTTCTCAACATGTCTTTTTTTGTTCTTTCTTTGCTGTGCTTGGAATGAAGGCCAACTCTGTCCATTGAAAAATCCTGAGATTAAAGCCAGAGAACATACTTCCATTGGAGTGTTATCACTGGCAGGCTCTGGGACATCATACAAACTCATTATAATCTCTTTGTTCTTTGATTTCCTCATTGGTAAAATGATGAAGAATTAGAGAAGCTAATCCCCAAGGTGCCATCTAGTGCTAAACCTCCATGATCCAGGGAACTCAGAGAACCTGCTTGAGTTCCAAATTCACAAAGTGCCTAACATTTACGCAGATGAGATTCTTCAAGGGGATGCTAGACTTTATGGAACTTTCCTTTGAACCATACATTTTGAGGTCTTTTAAAATCCAGATAAAAGGTGGGTCTTCTAGCCCAGCAGTGAGTGATCTCTGGGTCACCCCAAACTAATTCAGAATCTAAAGAAAGGCCTATATGTTTGAGTCATCTCTCTGTGTTTTATGTCTACATTTCCCCAACATATATTGAGGTTTCTTTTTTGATACAGTGGCAAAATGTTATATCATTGTGGCCAAAATAGAAGGTAAAAAGAGCTGTGCTAGAGTGGTACCCTTGGTGGTGGAGAAGCTCCATCCACTGGAGAAGACTCCAGTTCTAGAAAACCATCAGATATTGCAGTAATCTGGAAAGCTTAAGTACTTTTTATAAATATTAATATTTCTTCCCAGATGATGATTCTTTGTTAGAGTAAGTCATACTGTATTAGTCTGTTTTCATACTGCTATAAAGAAGTACCTGAGACTGGGTAATTTATAAAGAAAAAGAGTTTTAATGGGCTCACAGTTCCACAGGGCTGGGGAGGCCTCACAATCATGTCAGAAGGCAAAGGAGGAGCAAAGGCACATCTTACATGGTGGATGGCAAGACTGTGTATGGAGGGGAACTGCCCTTTATAAAACCATCAGATCTCATGAGATTATTCACTGTCACGAGAACAGCATGGGGAAAAAAAATCCCCATGATTCAGTTACCCCCCACCATGTCCCTCCCAAGACACATGGGGATTATGAGAGCTACAATTCAAGATGAGATTTGGGTGGGGACACAGCCAAACCGTATCACATACATAATTTGTTTTCTTTTATTCTTAAGCCTTAATAATTTAAGATGGAGGAAACAGAGTTTGAGAGGAAGTAAATATTTCAATCATAGTTGTGTAATCTTTTTCTGTATCATGCCTTAAGAGATTATCTAGCTCAGATCTTAATCCATGAAGTACCATGTAGTGACTTACTATAGTGATTCTGAAGTCAGACTGCCCGGGTTCAGATCTTGTCCTCATCCATCTTTATCTGTGTGACCTTCAGCAAGTTAGGTAAATGCTGGTAATAAAAATCCCTGCCTCATAAGATTTTTTTAAAATTAAATGAGATAAAATATATACCAAGCCGAGAACAGTGTCTGACATATAGTAAGCATTTAATAAGAGTTAGCTCTCTGGGCTATGGGACACTTCATATTGGAAAAATAAGATCACTTTAAAGAGGAACTGACTTTAAATAATGTTTAAAAAAAGATGTTTGTAGCTATAACACAAAAATTATCTTAGAAAAGAATGCTATTTTATTTTAAATTCTGTATAAAACATCAGCAATATATTGTTACACAGGGTTGAGGAATATACTTCTTGTGCTCATTTGCATTATACAAGGTTCCTGTAATCAGTAAAGGGTTTTCTTTAGCTGCCGAAACTTATTGCTGAACTGCTTTTGGATTAAAACACCAGAACAGATAGAATACTGATACTATATGTATTAGCTGCCATATAGGTATTTAATGAGTTTTGCTTTTATCAATTTTTAAAGGATATATTAAATAAAAAAACATTTAACATTGGCACATAAGCATGATATTGTTGCAGTACACAGACAATGGATGGAGAACAAAACAGCTTTTGGAAGCTGCATCCAATCTCTACACCTCTAGAGTGGATCCCCAAACACTGGGTATACTGGGTACATTGGGTGCATTGGGTGCATTGGCTGCATTGGCTGCATGCTCTGTTAGCTCTAGACTAGCACACTCTTGTCAGGAACTGCATTTGTTATCAATGAACATTGGATGCCTGAATCTAGGCCATAAGATGTACAGTCTATAAATTTACAAGTCCTTCTATATATGATAAATGGTAGATAATTTATAATTATTACAAACCACTTTATTTTTATTTATTTACTTATTTATTTATATTTGAGACAAAATCTGCTCTGTCACCCAGGCTTGATTGCAGTGGCACAGTCACAGCTCACTTCAAGCTCTAACTCCTGGGCTCAAGTGATCCTCTCTCCTCAGCCTCCCAAGTAGCTGGGACTACAGGTGCATGCCACCCCACCTGGCTAATTTTTTTTTTTTTTTTATATAGTGGAGTCAGCATCTTGGTATGTTGTTCAGGCTGGTCTTGAACTCCTGAGCTTAAGCAATCCTCATGCCTCAGCCTCTCAAAGTGCTGGGATTACACGCATGAGCCACTGTGCCTAGCTACTTAATTTTTTAAAAAGGATAAAAGTTAAAGTTCCTTAAACTATTAATTTTAATTATGATTACATTGTCTTATTGCAAATGAAAATGCCCTTCACCCATATGTTTTTAAAATATCATTATTTTTGTACTTCAAGTTTAGAAAAAAAAATTGTAAAGGCTTTTTGGAGTGAAAATAAAAAGAAATAAATGTCCTTCAGATTTTCCAGGCTAGGTCAAAGGAGCAGAACAAAAAGAAACACTAAAACTGTAATTTAAGGACTAAAAAAAAGTTAGAAATCAAAATATGAAGTAACTGTCATTCGTGAATGGTAGCAGTTGTCATGTGGTTGAATTTACTTCCTTTTAAGGAAATAGAGTGGTAGGAAAATAAATTTCTCTATCTGGTAATAAATATAAATACCTCATCCTAGCTTCATGTTATGGGTTTTATAAATCATGTAATATTTCCCTCAAATTTGCACTTCTAATTCATATTTCATTGTCAGCTCTTCTCTCATTTTTAAATTGATTCCTGTCTTTTTAACAAATCCACTACATTTTTGGGGAAGGACACAGAGGGTGAGTACATAACTGCTGAATGTTTCCACAGTTTCTTTCAAAATTCTAAACTGTTTAGAAGACTTCATAGTGACTTAAGCTGATCCATTCTCTAGCTCTGTCATAGAGGCACTTTCTCCCCAATATCAGCCTCTCTCCTTATCTCCCTTTTCTCCTCATAGCCCTTGCAGTGAAAGAAGAGAACACAGGAGGATGAGGTTTAGAACCATTAATAGCCTTAAATACACAAGCAATGGATGCCCAAATCCAGAGCATAAAATGGGCAATCTATAAACATGCAAGACCTTCTATTCATGGTCAAACAGCTTTTGGAAGCTGCATCAACTCTCTACACCTCTAGAGTGTATAGGGAAAAAAAAAAAAAAAAAATCTCATGATTAAATTACCTCCTACCACGTCCTTCCCATGACACATGGGGATTAAGCTAGGATGAAGAGACCATTTTGTCAAGACTGTTTGTCTACAGCAGACGTCCCCAAACTTTTTACACAGGGAGCCAGTTCACTGTCCCTCAGACCATTGGAGGGCCACCACATACTGTGCTCCTCTCACTGACCATCAATGAAAGAGGTGCCCCTTCCTGAAGTGCAGCGGGGGGCCGGATAAATGGCCTCAGGGGGCCACATGCAGCCCGCAGGCCGTAGTTTGGGGACGCCTGTTCTACAGGTTCAAGGTTGACACTGTCAAGTGGAATGTCTTGCTTCTTCAGATAGTAACTTTCTTTGTAACTTTCTTCCCTTTTCTTTGTTGTTGTTGTTGTTTTTTGAGACAGAGTTTTGCTCTTGTTACCTAGGCTGGAGTGCAATGGTGCGATCTTAGTTCACTGCAACCTCCGCCTCCTGGGTTCAAGCAATTCTCCTGCTTCAGCTTCCCAAGTAACTGGGACTACAGGCAAGCGCCACCATGCCCAGCTAATTTTTGTATTTTTAGTAGAGACGGGGTTTTACCTTGTTGACCAGGATGGTCTTGATCTCTTGACCTCATGATCCACCTGCCTTGGCATCCCAAAGTGCTGGGATTATAGGAGGCGTGAGTAACTGCGCCCGGCCCTTCCCTTTTCTTTACAAGAAAGAAATCTTTGAAAGATACTGAAGTCTTCTCTCAAACTGCCTTCAGTCAGGACGGCATGAAGCAGTGAGGTTGTTCAGATACTTACATGTGAGATAACACATATAAAAGTGCAGTGCAGACTAGAAACTGCTCTGTGCTTTAAAAAAAGAGAAGCATCAGAATGGCCATAGGAAAGGTAGAGCTTTCAAATTTTATTTTGAGCTTAAAGCTCATTTTTAAATTGTCCTATGAACTCTTGTAACATCATTCAGAGGCTACATTAAAATAACCCAGGTTACTTTTCCACATATAATTTTCAGGTACTAATTAATCCCTCTTTTAATACTGGATGCTTCTGTGGTGTCCCATCAAGCAAAATAGGGTTCCCCATGTGTTTCACCTTAAAAAATTAGAACTCCCCAGCCACGCGCAGTGGCTCATGCCTCTAATCCCAGGAGTTTGGGAGGCTGAGGCAGGTGGATCACGAGGTCAGGAGTTCAAGACCATCCTGGCCAATTTCACTCTGTCTCTACTAAAAATACAAAAATAAGTTGTGTGTGGTGGTACACACCTGTAGTCCCAGCTACTTGGGAGGCTGAGGCAGGAGAATCGCTTGAACCCGGGAGGCAGAGGTTGCCGTGAGTTGAGATCTCACCACTGCACTCCAGCCTGGGAGACAGAACAGAACTCCGTCTTAAAAAAATAAAAATAAAAAATAAAAAATTAGAACTCCAGAAACCTCAGCTACCATCTCAAAATATTTACGTTGCCC